TGGCGAGGTGCCCCACCACACTTGGCAGAGTGGGCCCTGGACTTGTGTGTGTTATGGCCAAGGTGTGTTTGTGCCTGGAGCGCTCTGGACCCGCAGGCGCACCTGAGGTCTACGCTGGGACACACGCCGCTCTTGTGAGTTGGCTGTTAAACCCTGGAGCCCCCGAAGCTGGGGGGGAGGGTAACCCTACTCAGTGTGAGGGGAGCCTGTGCCCAGGTGCCCATGAGGAAACAAGGATCCACCCCGGTGCGGCGAGGGCTTGCCTTCAGCCCCTGGCAGGGGCTGCTCGCTAGGAATGCCCCCATCCTCCCGCTGCAGCTCCGGGGTGTCTTTGCTCCTTCCTGGATGGCAGGAGACGCCCCCGAGGGAGTGGGGTGTGGGCACAGGCAGCCAGGTGTGTCGGTTCCTGAGGGAACCTACACGCGGCTGCTTGGGTCCCCGGCCCCTCCTCCTCCCTGGGTTGCCGGTGGGGAGGGGGCCGCGGCTGCTGCTGCACCCTGCTGAGGTCCACCGGTTGGCCGGCCCGGGGCCCGCAGGCGTTCAGGCGGGTCAACTTGATGGCCCGTTGCTGCCCGCCACCAGCTGGTGCTGCGGATGAGGCGGAGCACGACAGGGCACCCAGCATGGCAGGGCGCGAAGCGACGCGATGCTGCAGGGCAAGGCCAGACTGGGCGGGGCGGGGCGGGGCGGGGCGGGGCAGGAGCTACAGGAGGGGGGGCAGGACGCCAGGACTGGACCGGAGAGGGCGGGGTGGGATAGAATGCCCGTCAAGTGACATGAAGGGACTCACTTTCACCAGTTATTTGGGGTTTCTTGCGTGAATCCCATATTCTCGGCAGAGCGACACCCTATTTCCATGTCCAGTCACAGCTGCTGCGCTCAGAGAGCAAAAATTAGAAAAATAGACTCATCCTCGCAGGTTTTCCCCATAACCTTCATGGGCTTGGGACAGGGGCGGGCCAAAATAAGGCGTGCACAGTGTCATAAGCCAACTTTGGTATTTTACAAATGGAAAATCAGCCTCAAATGTCCACGACACACACACACACACACACACACACACACACACACACACACACACACAGAGGTCGTGATCAGGCAGGCCACAACCAAGGCTTCCAGAAAGCTTGGGAAAGCGGTGGAGAGGCCACATTCCCTCACAGAGTCGGAAATCAAGAAAATGACTTTTTGAGTCAGTCCAGCCATTATGAGTTAGACACAGGACGGTGTGACATAAAAAACACGGGGCATCCAACTTCAGGAAGCTGCCGAGGCTGCTTCTACCACTGGATAATTTGTAGTCAGAGAACATAAAGGATTCAACCTCCACATTGACACGCGGAGTAGAAACACATTTTTTCAAACCCAAGAGCTAATAATGGGAAACATCCCAAAGCTGGAGGGAAATGGATATAAATCCATCCCCATGCTGTTTCTTTGGAGAAGCAAGAGTCAACTAATCCAACACTTGCAAATCGACCAAAACCAGAAGGGTAACATGGTAAAATGAAGGCAAACATGGGAACAGCTGAGTGGGAGGATTTTCTAGCAACAAAATCCATCATGAGGATGACTAAAAAACAACGGAGCCAAGAGTCGGCCCCCGCTGGCTCCAGGACGTGATCCCTCAACGGAGGCCTCTTTCCAAATGTCAAGGAACCCACTCTTTACAAGCAGATAAAAGGGTGAGTGAGTCCTCACACGACCCCGAACTCAACAGACAAGAGACTCCTCCGGAAACAAGACGGGGGTTCAGTATCTGGAGAAATATCCTACGCCCCGAGGACACAGGTCAGGAAGCTACTAGCACTGTCCACCCCCAGAGCTGCCTCCTTCTACCTTCTGTGAGGTCCGGCTGCACCTCCAGCTGGGGGCACCGGCGAATCCCTGCCCGCCTCCTGATGGGATAGAAAACATTTGCATCGAGGATGCCTTCGTTCAGGGACACGGGTGCAAAGCCTCCCCAAAAGGTTAAACACAACAAAAGTAATGTCCCGGGTGCTGGGAGGGCACTTGGTCTCAGGGCACAGCCTCAGTGGCCTGTCCTGCTGCTAGCCCGGTCACTTCCTCCCCGACACACAGAACCCTTGGCGGCAGTGACACCATGGTCAGAGGAAAAGCGCCAAGGGCATCCCGGTCAACACCAGAACAGGGGAGACACACACCACCAGGACAATGGCCGTCTGCTGGGGTGCTCTGGGCCACTCCAGGAAGCCCTGGGACAGAAGAGGGGGTGACAACGGCTGGGGGGCCCCCACTTGCAGGACGAGGATTAGGCCCAGGAATGGCTCGGCCTGGCACGTGCGGAGCTGTTGTGATTTCAGGGGGACGCGACCGGGTGACAGATAAATACACAAGCCGTGTCCAGGGTGCCTGGCAGAAGGCAGAGTCACACAGTCCTGCCACACCCACGCTGCCTGGGGGGGCCAAGGGTCACCCTATGGCCGGCGCCCTGGTAGAGGGAAGGGGAGACTGTCCCTGAGAGGCTGCTCCGCGTGTTCCCCACTAGCAAGGGTCGCGGGGCTAGAGGCCGGTCTGACCCCAGGTTTGTCCACCCAATCCTCTCCTGAGCTCCGTCTGGCTCCCGCCTCTCCCCGGGGATGGCATGGGCCTCTTGTCATTTACGGAGCCCTAGTAGCCCAAAATCCCTCCACCCCACCCCAAAAGCTCCCCGCAACGTCCTGTCATCTCTGCTTAGGGCCCTTCCAGGCTGCGCTCCACCTGTCGCCGCCCCCCACACCCCCCCAGGCTGCCCAGCGCCCC